CTGTACATGCGCAGATTTACCTTTGCCCATCTCGAGAACAAGGAAGGAGATATATTCTCTATCTCATGTTTTGGACAGATCTGGCATCACCAGTGAACTCTATACATACTGGAATGAGTGATCTATTGTTCTGGCTGTTGCCGAGAGAGAGGTGCGTTTGGGTGAATCCTTGTCTCCTTCTAGTACTACCTGATTGGATAGTCGCATATAAATGACGAGAAGAAGGGCGTCATTTATATGCGATTATCCAATCAGGTAGTACTAGAAGGAGACAAGGATTCACCCAACGCACCTCTCTCTCGGCTACAGCCAGAACTATAGATCACTCATTCCAGTATGTATAGAGTTCACTGGGCATCACTATTCCCCTTCCAGGTATATATGTTCTAAGGGCGCGCGTTAACCGCGCCGACGGCCGCGCGCGGCACGATTCGACGTCAGTCCGGGCGCGAAATGGTGGGCTTGTTTTCTGTTCCTGCACTGGTGAACTAGTGCAGTAAGCTAGAATGAGAAAAAATATACTTGTCTTACTCCAATTTATTGCACTAGTTCACCAGTGCAGGAACAGAAAACAAGCCCAATCTTACGCGATATCGGCACTTACCGGCGATCTCCTTGCGCAGCTCCTCCTTCGAGATTTCGGTCATCTTTGACATTATATAGGCAAAGTCGGCCATGGTAGTAGCGAAGAAATTTTGTAGTTCTTGTAATGGCCACTAGCGTTGCAGTCTATGTATTCTATCTCTGTCTTCTGTCCTGTTTTACCATTAAATCTGACTTACAATTAGTGTTTCGATTTTCTGCCATTTATCCTATGGCGGCACTCGTGATGTTGATTACGTGTTAGACCAGGCAAAGTGGAGGCAACGAGCAGTCCATAGTTATATAGTCAAAGGTCTACACTGTCTACAGTCGTGATGCGCGCCGAGCCGGCGCCCGGGCACGGTCGAGGTTGATTGAGGCATTTGAGACATCCAGGTCCCGCCGAGAAGTCACGGAGCACGGAGAGTAACGAGAGTCCGGCCGGTCGGAGCGCGCTATCGCGGCGCCGCGTGGCGCGACAGGAGTCGACAACTGCCTTGACGATCGGCGACGAATGGACGCGGCGGCGGCGCGCCGCGACACACCGACACCGACCCCGTTAACGGTACCAGCGCCTTGGGACGTGCCCCCCGTCGAGGAGCGAGCGCCCAGTAGGCGCGATGGCGAAGCCCCTGACCGGGGTGCTGCCGTTCGTGCGAGGCGTGGACTTCAGCAGCAACGACTTCGGCGTGAGTAGCCGCACGCCGCCGGGCCGCGGGGACTTTCCGCGCCGAGAGGTTAACCTCGTGCCGCGCGAGGGAGACCCCGTCGAAACGCGCGCCCGGTCCCCCCCGGCTCCCGTTTATTCGAGCCCGCGTACATTTGTCTCGCTCTCAACTCCGTTATCTCGATAGCTTGAACAAGCGTGCGCGATGCACCTTCGCTCGAGTACGAGGGAGGATAACTGGATGACATGTCACTTTCCATTCGCAACACCTCGCGAGAGAGCCGTGCTCCGGTTTTCGCTGTCCGAGTGGTGTCGAAAGTGCGCACGCGACTACGTGAATACGAGCACTGGCGGCGAATATTGGAGCGCGGCCCTAGGTTTAGGATTGATCGTGTGAGCAGCAGCTGGACTGTGGTTAAAGACCGCCTCTCGGTATTTCTAGGATGGCAAATTTCCTGAGTCCGTGCGTCTCATGACTGGGATACAATGGCTGAAGTTGGACAAGACGAATTTGATGGAGATCCCCGAGGAGATGGGCAAATTGTTGAAACTGGTAAGGCGATACTCGAGAGATTGCGCGCAACAACATTTATTTGCACGCTAAAGTATTTCATACAATTACTATCATTGTTGGCACAAATTTCGTGTACTGAGATTCCCTAACGTCTCGGCGACTATTGTCGCTGGAGCGTTAGAGAATCCCAGTACTGAAAAAAGTTTTGTCGCACGGCTAGAATCGCCCATTAACGCATTCGACTGTCCGTCAGGAACATCTGTCGCTCGTCAAGAACAAGCTGGAACGTTTGTACGGAGAATTGACAGAACTGGGTTGTCTGAGGACCCTGAACATAAGACATAATAATATCAAGTCCAGCGGTATCCCGGCAGAGCTGTTTCACCTGGAGGAGCTGACAACCCTAGATTTAAGTCACAACAATTTGAAGGAGGTACCTGAAGGCCTAGAAAGAGCACGTTCCTTGCTCAATCTTAATTTAAGCCATAATCAGTACGTATCAACCGTAATTATTTCCGTGGGAAAGTCATCTGGAAAGCGCTGCGACTCTCGTCTTTGTCCTTTCAGTATCGAAACCATACCAAATACGCTGTTCATCCACTTGACGGACTTGCTGTTCTTGGATCTTAGTCACAACAAGCTAGAAACAGTGCCTCCGCAGACACGACGTTTGGCCAATCTACAGACTTTAAATCTGAATCATAATCCGTTAGGTCACTTTCAATTAAGGTGGGAAGCCGTTTCGCACGGGGAAATAATTTCTTCTACGAGAGGGTTCTCTTTATTTCTCTCCAATTGTTTCAGACAATTGCCGTCGTTAATGAATTTGACAACGTTACAAATGCGGGACACACAACGAACATTGAATAATATACCTTCTAGTCTAGAAACGCTGACCAATTTGCAAGAGCTCGATTTGTCGCAGAATAATCTACCCCGAGTGCCTGACGCGCTTTATTCCTTGTCGAATTTGCGCCGCTTAAATCTGAGCGACAATCAAATAATGGAATTGTCAACAGCGATCGGTGAGTGCATTGAACTTTTTACAGTTAGCCACATAGTTCTGTGCGAACTGACGGGAGGACGTATCTTCCAGAATTGTGGACGAGATTGGAGACTCTGAACGTGTCGCGGAACAAATTAAGTGCAATACCAGCCGCCTTGTGCAAGATTTCCACATTAAGAAGATTGTATTTGAACGATAACGAATTAGATTTTGAGGGCATACCTTCTGGAATAGGGAAATTATCGTCCCTGCAGGTTTTCTCTGCCGCTAATAATCATTTAGAAATGATACCGGAGGGATTATGTAGGTGAGGAGCTGTTATTTTTCCACTTATATTGTCTTATTGTAGGGAGAGTAACAATTTTTTTCCTTTCTAAAGATAATGTTATAAAGAAAATATATATATATTTTTTAGATGTGGTGCATTAAAGCAATTAATATTAACGTCAAATCGATTGATTACCGTGCCGGACGCCATCCATCTTCTCACCGATCTGGAACAGCTGGATCTGCGGGACAATCCGAATTTAGTGATGCCACCAAAACCAACAGAAGTGCAAAGGGGATCGGGCATCGAGTTTTACAATATCGACTTCTCGTTGCAACATCAGTTGCGTCTCGCCGGTGCGAACGTACCAGCTCCAGTTCAAGCCGCTAGTGCGTATTACGACCGTCGAATTGTGCAATAAAATGTAAAGATGCGATACCTTTGTATATAAAAGCATGTTTTTATGATTGCAGACAGCAAAGATCCAATCGCGCGTAAAATGAGATTGAGAAGAAGGAGAGATCAAGAGGAGGCTGATCAAGATCAGGCCAAAATTCTCAAGGTACGTCATCGACTCACTTAGTCGTACAAAACACATGCAGTGCTTGTATGCAGAGAAACTTGGGCAAATGTTACGGCTAATTTTCGAGCAATAATTTTAAGTATTTTGATAAACGACAACATTCTTGTTTTATTGCTCGAAAATCGAACGGAAGACTGTTTTTACCTTCAATAAAACGAAAGGCGAAGAAGCTTAAGTATTTGTTAATCATTTGTATCATAAAATATATAACGATAGGCACGTTTAACTTGCTTCGGCTCCTTCGCCTTTCGTTTATGTATTGTTGATTTTTATCTTAGGAGCCTTATTTTCTCAATTTTTATCTCTATCTTATTTCAGAGTTTTATAATTACGATTGTTTTTCAGGGCATGAAGGACATAGCGAAAGAGAAGAACAAGGATAAGGAGTGCGAGGAATCGAAAGCAGAATCCCTGAAGTGAGTAGAAGCTTCCTAACTGTATTACATTTGTTTTCCAGCGTGGATATTAATATTACACAATTAACAATTTTTCAGGCCCAAACGATGGGACGAAGCTTTAGAGAAGCCGCCGCTGGATTATTCCGAGTTCTTCGACGAGGACGCGGGTCAAATACCAGGTTTGTCGGTCTGGGAGATAGAGAACTTTCTGCCGAACGAGATCGAGGAGGTGGCGCACGGCAAGTTTTACGAGGGCGATTGTTACATCATCCTGAAAACCGGGATAGACGAAGGTGGCTCGTTGACCTGGGCGATCTACTTCTGGATCGGAGAAAAGGCGACAGTACGTATTACTTTCGAAGCAAGGACGGTAGAAAAGGTCCAAGATTGAACACCGTACAATTATTCCATACAGATTATCGCACATGTGAGCCGCTTGTACGATTAATTTAATCGCAATTTGTTGTTGCAGTTAGATAAAAGAGCGTGCGCGGCGATTCACGCCGTAAATCTGAGGAATTACTTGGGCGCACAATGTCGGACAATCAGGGAGGAGCAGGGGGACGAGTCGGATGAATTTCTGATGCTGTTCGATTCGGGTATCACCTACATCGAGGGCGGTCGCACGTCGTCCGGTTTCTACACAGTGGAAGATACAGTGAGCGCTTATTTCTTTCTTATTAAATTGTCGTAATTAATTTTTCCAAGGAAAAGTTTAAGTCACGTCGAGATCACGATCTTTTTCAGCCGGCGATCACTCGTTTGTACAGAGTGCACGCGGCAGGGGCTTCTATACATTTGGAGCCAGTTCCAGTCTGTGTCGAGTCTCTGGATCCGAATTACGTGTTTGTACTCGACACGGGGAATAAGATATTCATGTGGTACGGAAAGAAAGCGAAGAGTACGTTAAAGTCGAAGGCGCGACTGATGGCGGAGAAAATTAATAAGAACGAACGGAAAAATAAATCCGAGATTCTAACGGAAGTCATGGATGCCGAGTCTGAAGATTTCCTGTTGCATTTAGGGGTGGAGGAGCACGAGCAGAAAAATCTGCAAATTATTGTAAGCTTTTGTTTCAGTAACAGCAGTAAAAACTATACTATTTAAGAGCAAAAGTTCGAAACTTTATTTCATGCATTTTACTTTTGATATATTCAATAATTATTTTTTCATTGTTATAATCATCTCACTTGTGTTTACGATAGGAGCACGTGGATCCAAATTTTGTACCTCTTGTACCCAGATTGTATCAAGTTCAACTCGGAATGGGCTATCTGGAACTACCGCAGATCGAGGTTCCTCATGGAAAATTAACGAATACCTTGTTAAACAATCGCAATGTGTATATATTAGACTGCTATTTAGATGTATACGTTTGGTAAGTGTAAAAAGTGTGCTTAAGGTACTCTTTTCAATCTATACATTGCCTAAATTGTTGCGTACGATTGTAGGTTTGGCAAAAAATCGACGAGATTAGTACGCGCCGCTGCCGTAAAGTTGTCTCAAGAATTATTCAACATGATAGAGAGGCCAGAATACGCGATGGTAACCAGATTGCAAGAGGGTACTGAGTCACAGGTAATAAATATGCCTCTTTGACCCAATTTATAAAAACTTTTAAGTCAATTTATACAAGCCATTTGTACATTCCATTAAAAAATATTTGCCTCGCTCATTGTATAGATTTTCAAATCGAAGTTCACTGGATGGGACGAAGTAATCGCAGTGGACTTCACTAGAACGGCTGAATCGGTCGCTAAAACTGGAGCGGATCTCACTAAATGGGCTAAGCAACAGGAGACAAAAGTACGTTGAAATGCATTTCATAACAACTGCATTTTTACTCTATTATTTTTATTTAAAATAAATTTTATTTACTTTCGGTCACTTTCAGGCGGATCTGGCCGCTTTATTTATGCCGCGGCAACCACTGATGTCGGCTGGAGAGGCGCATCAACTCATGACAGAGTGGAACGACGATTTGGAGGGAATGGAAGCATTGGTGTTGGAGGGAAAGAAATTTGTACGCCTACCGGAGGAGGAGTTAGGGCATTTTTACAGCGCGGATTGTTACGTTTTCTTATGCCGGTACTGGATGGTATGTAAAATATGTTCCGGCGAATAGCAAAGATGTCCAACTCACGATAAATTGCTATTTTGCTTTTGGTTAAACCAGCTATCAGACATAACGGAGAACGAAGACGGTGAGGAGCAGTATGAAGACGATTATCAGTGTACGGTGTACTTTTGGCAAGGCAGAGACGCGGGGAACATGGGATGGCTGACGTTTACGTTTAGGTAAAGGTCATAGATATATTAACGTGTAATATATCTATGTGTAATGCAGTAATGCGATGCGGTAGAGTCTGATTCGCAATGGTCAGGTGATTCTTTTCCGTTTCAGTCTGCAAAAGAAATTCAAATCGTTGTTCGGGGAAAACCTGGAGGTGGTGAGGACGCATCAACAGCAAGAAAATCTGAAGTTCATGAGTTACTTCAAACGAAAGTTCATCATTCACCAAGGCAAGCGTAAGCAGCCGAAGGCCGCGGGTAGCAACAAAGTGGAGTTTTATCATCTACGAAGTAACGGCAGTGCCTTATGTACTCGGCTCATTCAAATACCGGCGGATTCGACGTTATTGAATTCTGCTTTCTGGTGAGACACATTACGTTAAGTACGTACATACGGTTATATACCGTCTATAATACACATCTTTTTTCACTTGTAGTTATCTTTTAAATGTGCCATTCAACAATTCTGATGAAGGAACCGGTATCGTGTACGCATGGATTGGCTCGAAGGCTGATCCCGAAGAGGCTCGTCTAATTGGAGAAATAGCAGAGGAAATGTTCAACAACGTGAGTTGTAAATCTTTCGTGCTCGAATCCCAAAGAGCTCAACTTCGATTTTACTCAATTTCATATAAATTGCAAATGTAAATGTCTGTTGAACAACGAAGTGTTCTTTTTCTCTTCAAAGAAATAGAACATCTTGTATCTTATAGAGAAATGTTTTTGTCTTTCGTCGATAATAAATATAAAATAATTGGATACAGCCATGGATAAGCCTGCAAGTATTAAACGAAGGCGAGGAACCTGACAACTTCTTTTGGGTGGCGCTTGGAGGGAAGAAACCGTACGACACTGATGCGGAGTTTATGAATTACACAAGACTATTCAGATGTTCCAATGAGAAGGGATACTTCACAATCAGCGAGAAGTGCACCGATTTTTGCCAAGTACATTTTCCACATAGAAAAATACCTTGATTAATAACAGTCTTCTGGTATATACTACCGGGACTACTTCCAGATAATTTTTTTTACAATAAATGGATAACACGTTATTTTCTGCAGGATGACCTGGCAGATGATGATATAATGATCCTCGATAACGGAGAACAAGTATTTCTCTGGCTGGGTACTCGCTGTTCAGAAGTTGAAATCAAACTGGCCTACAAGTCAGCTCAGGTCAGTTATTCAGGATCGACTATCAGTCAATTTTAATGAAGAATAGCAAGTACGACAAAGTAAATTGATTCCAAGTGGTTGGGACAATGTGGTTAACACCATCTTTTCCCTTCAGGTATACATTCAACACTTGCGCGTGAAGCAACCCGAGAAACCCCGTAAGTTATTTTTAACTGCCAAAGGTAAGGAGTCCAAAAGATTCACGAAATGCTTTCACGGCTGGGGTTCGCACAAGAGGCCGCCGCAGTAAAATCGAGTCAGTACTCACTACGCTTAACGTTAGTTTTATCCGCAGGCAGGGTATAATGCAAGCGCAACATTCTTACGTAGATACGTCGCGATCCTCGCTTTTACTTGCGCTTCGACCGAACGGAAGTCAATCTACCCACAATTGTATATCGTCGATGCGAACGATCGCTCTAGGTCAGGAAACGCAATAATTGTTCACTAAACAACGAATCTAACTAGTAGAGTTTATACTTCCGCGTTTGCTTCTTTGCTTCCAACTGGATAATTTTTCACCGACTGCTTTCTTGATTATTACGCGTTAGTCTGCTTGGTATACGTAATTTTAAAAATTCAGGTTTTTATTTATTGGCACGGGCACTCTTTCGACTCAGTCTCATTTCTCAACTCTAAACGGATGCAAGTACAAAGAGTTTAGCCCGATCTACAATGTGCTTTTCTAGAAACATTCTATTTTGTAGCCAATAAATAGGTTTAAAAAATTTGTGCGAGTTGATAACTTATATGTATATTATACATTGTACAATTGTACATTGTCGAGGCATTTTTTAAGCGTATTAATTTTCTTACGCAAACCAATGTTTCTAAGCGCAAAGAGCACATTGTAGATTAGGTCCCTCGTATTTCCATCTTCGAGTCCAACAAGATTCTCTGTGATGCCATTCTCTGCTATTTTACACTGTAAAAGAGATTCGTTTACCTTAATCGTTATAATCTATACTTTGTGTATCCAACGAGATTTATTTATTTATTTATTCACATATATTTCCGTATTTATGAACTTTCGTACAGACTAGACTATTGACTCCGCTCTTTTTATTTCTCCCACGTTTACGTTTCAGACAATGTGATAGACACTTTTAAAAATCGTTCGATGAATTGTGATAGATATTTATCGTCGAATTGTAACGTTGAAAAAAAAAGCAGTATTTTCTTTTTTCTTTGTAGAGAAATATCGATTCTTCTGTAAGAAGATATATCAGCTGTTTGTATAGTCCTGAAAAGGGTTTAAATAGAATCTTTCTACGAGTTTTTCTAGATTTGCGCTGTGCTTCTAGCAAATACTGTCGAAACTGTCAATTTTTGCGCAGATTATCGGAAATCGCATTTGGAAATTTGTGAATGTTAATCGAAGACTGAAAAGAGATACGTGTAGTTACAATCGCATGTACACATCGTACTATTAACACCGCCCAGATTGTACAGATGCCATAATGAGCGTTTTTGTATTACTTACACTGTATTTAACACAATTTATTTATACATATAATATATATATATAGATTTATAAATACATAGATTTTGTAAAGTTCTACTTAACTTTCAACAATTGTATAAATAAATATTTCTATGACAATTTACATAATCTCAGGTATTGAAGCGTAAGTAAGGTACCTAAGTAGTGTAAGCGAAGAGAGACTCCTCTTCCTCCGTTACGTGAATCCATGCAATTACTGGTCTCGGCGTCACTGCGACATTAAACTCAAATCTGAAAACAATCCAGACGACACTCGGAGACCCGGGCAATATATTCAAGTCGACGACAACGTTCGAAACTACAAGCGTCAGCAGTTACAAGAATTAGAATCGACAATTGATCAAAATATACTGCGCGTTAGTAATTGATGCAATTAATAGAGCATTTCGAAGTAGTCTCTTATTTTTTCAGCACACGAGTATCGCATCTTCGTCGTATATGAATATTTTATAATGCATATTTTTCCACATATTTAAAAGCCGAGGCAGCCGAATAACGTCGTCCTCGCGCATACAAGTTTTGTTGCAAATTGTCCCTAGGGAATGTATGAAAATTTACCGTCAATTAGTGGCAAGAGCACGTCTAATCGGCTGAGTACTCTCAATAATCACAACGAGACGAAAACAGTGGTCGTTAGTCATCGTCGTCGTCATCGTCGTCGTCGGAGGGCACGAAGAGATCATTCTCCTCCAGGAAGTTGGCGATGTTCTTGCTGATCGTCGCGCCGACCAGCAGGCCGAATATCACGCTACTGACGACGCCCAGGAAGCTGAACGGCGTCCTCTTCGGCTCGGGCAGGATCGCCCCGGACGGCGTGGTGATCGTCGACCGGAGAAACGGCTTGGACGTCACGCTCGTCTCCCTGAGAACGGTCACTCCGCGGAACAACGGCGTCACTTTGCGCAACAACATCCTCCTCGTGGTTGTTCCCGGTGTGACGATGAGTCGCGCGGTGGCCCTTTCCCCGGGATTCGTGAGCCGGCAGTGTCGGGTGAGTCTTAACGCATTTCCGACGAAACGCTGTCGCCGCGGTATAAGAAAGAACAGTGGGCTGTGACGATCGCTCAGCGGCCGAGCAGCGGCACCTTTGAATCCATGGCCGCGTTC